AAGATGCCTGATGATTGACTAACTGTCTACTCTGACCTCCTTCATAAGACAGTATCAAGCTATTGTGACTGCATCATGGCTTCCATTAAAAACTTGATCCAAAACAAATAAAAAGTTTTAAAGGTTTTTGCATAAAGCCACATAAAGATTTACAGTAATCTTGGTTGTAGGATCAGTTCTATTCTGCAGAATGCCACTTACATGACGTTTTCTGTTGGCAAGCCAATTTTTAATTGGTTGGTATATTGGGCAAAGAAAAATGCAAAGAACTGACATTTAATTTCATGGAGACATTTTTAAATTTAACCATTAAATAGTTGTTTTTCTTTAAAATGATTAATGCATATAAATCTATATGGCAAGTTATAGATTACCAATTGTGTATCCCATAGCTAAGAACAAAAGAAAATTCATTATTACATTTAATTCATCAAACATTTAATAAGAATGTCATTACTTAATCCTCTCTGCCTTATAACTATGAACAATAGGCTACTTCCTTGGCCTTCAGTTTGACCTAAAACCAAAACCAAACCAAAAACAAACCAAAACAAAAAAAACCCACGCACACAGCTTCAATGACAAATTACTCCTTTTTTATAATTGCTTAAGGAAATGTAAAATAAAAAATATTTGATAGTCCATAAGGCTAAAACATCAGTGATAACTAAATTTAGTTTTTACTAAAAAGTTGTTGTTTTATGGAAATATTCAAGTCTCCATTCCATTTCATACAATTACTCCAGAAATAATACCCTCAGAGAGATGAACCAAAGGGCACAGGAATATCATTACAGAAGAACTGTGTCTTTGCCTATGCATTCATCTGTATCAATTATACAGTTGACAATGCTTTTTTTAAAATAAATAAATACATGCAATTATATACTATCCCATCTTAAACTAAAATAAAAAATGTCTTTAGTTGGATAAGAAACAAAAAATAAACAAAACTATCTGTAGCCTTATTCATAAGTCTAAACATAATAAATTCTGTTAAAAAAGGGCATCAGAATGAACTTCAATTTTGTCTTCACTGCAAAAAAAAAAAAAAAAAAAAAAAAAAAAGAGGTGTCTTCTTTTTTTCTTTTTTTTTTTTAACATTGAGATAGCTATCTCAATGGAAAACTCTAGAGAAGAGAAAGCACAGGTCAATTTTACCCTGAGGTCAACTCTATATCTTCCTGTCACCTCAACATGGTGCAACCTGGGGTTTACTTTGACTAGTTGCATCAAGATAAAATTTACCTCTGCCTTGCCACCACCTGACATCTTGATGTAAAATTCTATCATAAGTTTTCTATCCTGATGTAAAAATCCCACACTTTTTTATAGTCAAGATACAGTCTCTAATATCAAAATCCAGTTCTTTTACTTAGTTTGTAAACACATTTCCATCTTTTCCCTCATCACCACTTTGCCAGTTTCTTCAGGATAAAGAGTGCTCCACAATCTCACATCAATAGTATTTTTACCTGTCCCCCACTGTCTTCCTCCTACCATGTTTGGTCTAATTACATGCTTCATAAAGCTCTTCATTCTTGTAACCCTTTTTAATGCATATGAGTGCATCAGGATCAACTGCCAGAAAGGAACCGCTTTTAAAGCAAAATTTCAAAGCATGGTGTACACCTTTTTAACGAGGAGATAATACAGATCTCAAATTAGTGAGAGTCACCAGCAAAGTTTCTGTACAATGGGACCTTTAAAAGATACACTCCAATGACATATTTCTTACATTCCTTAGGCAACGTGGAACATCTACCTTTGTGTAACACAATAACAAGTTTATGTAATCAGTGCCAGTGACCATTAGCTTTAACAAATCATGATGAGCTTTCCTCTGAAAATTATATTAAAAGTCAGTAGAACCATTACACTGATAATAGTTTGAAGCAGTAGTTTAATAACTTACATGGTGGCTGTATTTCATGAGCAAGCCCAAAGGAAGAACATCTGACAAACTTACAGTGACTGCCTTATCTTGGCATACCAACTATGGAGATCTTAGCTGTCACATGTTACTAACAAGATAATTTGACAGCCTTTGTAAGTGTAATGCAGTCATCAAAATTATACTTATGGTAGACAAAATACTGAATACCTGCTTCTATTTACAAGAAGTAACCTAACATTCTTTAACTTGCCAAATACATGTAGGATCCTAGAACCTCACTTGACCCATGAAGTTTGCATGATGAGCATCTCATTAAAGAACATGAACTCAGTCCTGAAAATCCAGGGGACTACTCCCTTATGATTACATCTCTGTTCATTTTTTTTAAATTTCAACATCAAATATATCTGAAGATAACTAATGGTGTTTGCTAAAAAAATGCTGATGCCTTTTATGAGCAGAAATACATCTTTCCTTATATGGGTATAGATTCCAATCTGTACTGAAAGAAGAGAGTGATGGGGTATACTCACCACAACAGGATTTCTTTCTGCGTGCTTTGTGAATTGGATCCTTCCAAGTCCAGTGCCTGCTTCTGCCGCTCATTCATGTGCCCTGCCACACTTTTCTCTCTTTCTCTCCCTTTCTCTCTGACTCAGAATACTCTCTCTGTAGCCTAGCCCTTTAGTAAGAGTAAAGTGGATGTGCCTTGGTGCACAGCTCCAGCAAGAGCTGGCTGAGCTGCAGCAAAAGCCAGCAGGGAGCTATTTAAAGAGCTGGCAGGGACCTGAGTTGCAATAGGACAGTACCTGTAAGAAATTTTAAGTTACTTCCACCGCTGTCTTTGGCCCTCTGGCCAGGTCACTAGCCCTCCCCTTCAGGGGAACCAAAGTCTTATTGGATGTCTGTCCTAGTCAGTCTTCTATTCTGCTGCGTAGTCTGCACCACTGCCTCATTAGCAGGTGAGGGAACCCAAGCTGCCCTCTGCTTCAGGTTCCAGTCCAGGGACACTATATCTCGCAACTGTGGTCTGTTATTTCTCCCATGCCCTGTTGCTATTTTCCTTGGCACTTTCATTCATCTTCTAGATCCCTGCATTCTGGGTTTACCAGCTCAAACTTCCCCATCTTAGGAAATAATGGCAGATTACTTAACTCTATCACACTCTACACCCCCTCCTTTTCCCTTAGGCTGTGTCTAGACTGTAGAGTTTTTCTGGGATGGTATCCTGGAAAAACTCTGGTGCGTCCAGGAAATACATCCACTTTTTCGGAAGAGTTTCCAAAAAAGCAGGTACAGGAAAAAGTGTCCCTGGATTCCTCATTTTATGAGGCATAAGAGATGTTCTGAAATAGGAGGTTTTTCCGACATTTGGCCCTGTATAGACAGGCCAAATGTCGGAAAAGCCTCTTCCAAAACAAAAACAAGGAGAAAAAGATACGCAAATTGCTGTTTGCAATTTGAATATCTTTTTCTGAAAAAAAAATGGCCATATAGACATAGCCTTAGGGAGTGACTTAAGACTTCCTCCCATGCAGCCTCTTTCTGTTGCCAACTTCCTGGCTATGTAACAGCTCTGCCTGTTCCTTCTCAGCTGGATTCCGGCATCGATCAGTCTTATAATTCTTCACTCTCATCCAGGAGCAGTTTATCAGATTAACTAATTTAATTTTACCTGCTCTGCCTCAGGTGGGGTGTTTTCTGTTATGCTAGGCAAGCATCTGGCCATTTGGGGCTACTAATGAACAATAGTAAAATCCTTTTAAACCTTAGTTGTTTGCAATGCTTATCCTGTGAAGGTTACTCGTATGCTGTTTTCATGACAATCAAAACAATTGAATTTCAGGACTTTTAAAGGCAAACATTTTTTCTTTAGGAGACAGTTGCTGGTAAAAGATCAGTACAGACTATGCGATAACTTTTAACCACATCTAGAAATTTACATTTGATTAATATGTATCACTTCCTCCGGTAAACTATAATTAAATTAAGTGTCAAAGTGTGAAAAAGTTACTTTCTTAAATTAACAATTTTACACACACTTCATTTATGGCTTTCACATGATTTTTGCTCATTTTACTTGATAATGTTTTACTCTTATTATTATTTATAGCTCCATTTTTGCAAACATATTCCAGTCTCAATTGGAAATATCTCAGAAGATTTACCTGGCATTCCTCAGGTCCTTTGGGACAGAGAGCTAGGGTTGTGGAGGGTGCAGGAGCAAGAGCAGGGGCTTGGAGATGTAGAGGGCTTGGGGCAGGGGACTGGGGATGTGGGAGGTGCAGAAGTGGGGGGCTGTGGCTGCTCCCCAAAGCTGTCCCAGGGCGGCAAGGGTTGTACTGGCCAGCTGGCAGCTGCTCTGCAGCTGTCTGGGGTTCTTGGGGAAGCAGAGGCAAGCTTGTTTGCTGCCCCCCTCTGCTCATTCTGGGGTATAACTGTTCTCGGTGCTTACAACCCCCAATAGTTAGTTTGGAGTGTAACTGTCCCTCCTATCACTGCCCTCCCTTTTCTTTTGATAAGAAACAATCACATTCCAGGCACATCCTATTGTCCTGGAACAACCAGACCCTTACCTTGCTTTAAGTTCTCATCAGAGGAAGCTGCCTACCAAATTTGGTGGTCCTAGGTCTTACTGTTCAGGAGACATTCTTGAACAGACAAGACTCACAGACAGACAGACAGATGCACAAACTCTCCCAAATGTATAGTAAATATTCATACCACTCTACAGATAGACTAATGCCAATGAGAAAGCACAAAATCCAAAAAAAGCTATTTAATATCAACCTAGCCTATGGTAATACAAAGTTTCACAAGTAGTAGTTAGCTTGATTTAATACTGGATCTCCATCAAAAACCCATCAGAGAAGTTACAGAAAGATTAAGTAAATTTAGTGTCTTGAGGTATGGGATAAGGTTGAATTAAGAGATGCAAGCTTCAGTTACGTTAATTGCATAGCTGAAGTAAAAGTACCTTAACTTGACTTTTGGCGCTGTCCACACTGCAGGAAGTCAAAGGAAGCACACTCACAGTTCGATTTCCCTTGCTCCTCGTGGAAGCAGGACTACCGGCATCAACTGGAGCGCACCTCTCCATTTGAATTAGCGTGTCTTCACTAGATCTTCTCATTCGAACCCTGGAAGATCGACAACTTCAATCTTTCTCTTGAAAGAAAGACCTAACTAGTGCAATTTTCCTAGCCCCCCTCCCCCCAATTTAAGATATTGAATGTAATCCAAAATATTCAACACTATTTTACAACTGAGACTTTAAGTTGCTTTCACGTTATTAAAAGACACCGTGCATTAGGGCGTAGGTGACCCATGAATATGGCCGTTAATGCTAGATTTTAATAGTTGTCTTAATTTAATTTTGAAAAGATGTAATGCAGACCAAACCAAAGTAAGAGTCTTCCAAACACATTTTTTTTCCACTGAGCCACACTTTTGCAAACCTAAAAGTAGAAACAGCAATTGAATAGCAAGTAACTTGAACATTGGAACATATCAAAGAGGTGAGAGACAGCATTTGCATGCTTCCGTAGTAGAGTTACCATTAATATAAAGCAATGGCTATTTTGAGCCTCCCATATTGCTCTCACTGAGGAGAAACTTGGAAATTAAAAGGGAAAATAAAAGTAAGTGGCTTGAATCACATTGCTCTGCTGAGCATAAGTGCCTGGCCTTTTATCTAGGTAAATTAAGGCCAAGTGCACGCTGCAAAAGCTGTTTCTTTTGTGGCCAGCTCCCATGCATGCTCTGTTATACCAATCTGCAGTCTGTGAGGCTAGCGAGACCATAATGTTTCCTTCATTTGGATTCTTCTAGTCAGCTCAGAGCTGGCAGGAGTCACCTTCAGAAAGGAAAGAGCAAAGGAGGGTACCCTACAGCCTTGAAATCAGGAATTATAATATTGGCCGCAGCAGGTCATTTCTTTACCCCAGCCTCACTCTTATGTTTTCCAGATTTTAGGGGAATAAAGGAATTCTAATAAAGGTTCCGAATAAAGAACATGGTGCCAACAATTCTATATTGAAAAAAGTGGGTTTATACAAGCTCTCCTTCGTAACAGAAAAAAAAATCAGTAAGGTGCCACTGCACCTCAAAAAAATATAAAAATAATGAAAAGGCTCCCTTCAAGTCTGTGACCAGGATTATGCTTCATGAAGTGCTTAGTAGTTGAAGAACTAGTGTGTGAACCCTGAAGAGCTCTTTGGCCTCAAAGATTAAAATACAATTTCTTAAAGATCTGATGGGGGAGGGAGAATCCCATCTTGCCAGCAGCAGCAGGAGGAAGCCATTACTGTTACTTATACAATCTATTCTTGCTGAGACTGTTGCCCAATATAGTTTACAAAATTTCAGTTGGAAATGCATTAGCAGCTGAACAGCAAGCAGCTTCTAAGGGGTAAATAGAAAAAATAAATTAAAAACCGAGCTTCGAAGCTTCAAATGTTATTGAACGTCTGCTGCAATCCCCACAGTCAGCAGTCTATAACCTTTTAAAGTCCAAAGAAACCTTTTCTTACATGTACAGATTTCATTTGATTTTGGTTTAAGAAACTTTTTATGGATTCAGTTCAAGTGAAGCAGATAACAATTAGTTCAAATACATAAGCACCCTTCCACACTTACATAATGGGAA